AACAGTCCCGCCCTGAACACGTCTACATGACAATATTCAGATATAGTGAGAGCGCCACCTACTGGCAACAGGAAGTAAGCGCTGCATGGCGATTTTGATCTGATTTACGTGAAATGTTCATGTTGTGGTCCGCACATGTTACGCCGCCACATGACGTGGCCACAGCACACCCCTGACACGCGCCGGCCGCGAGGTCCCGTTCAATGCTGCTTGCAGCTTTAATTATAATTAGTAGTTGTAGTACTAGTAGTAGTAGAAATATGTTACAGATTAAATAATAAATATTTCAAATACAATAAATAATAAAAACGTGCAAAACTAGGAATGGGTATCATTAGGAATTCATCAATACTGATTTCTTATCAATACTTTTACTGTTACTGCTCTATATAATTTGGTGCAAACAAAAACAGACATGAAAAGTTATTTTGGTACTCTTTTTTTCAGAAATAAAAGTGAAATTGTTGTAATACCATAATGATATGTATATATTGTATACAGTTGTATATGAGGGAGGAGCAGATGCTACAGATGTTTGGTGGTGATTTATGCTGCTTCACTACCTGAGGCTAAACTTGAGCGTAATATTACAAATGACCAAAGAACTATAGTCCTTGAGCTTAAACTCAATAGAACATGCAACTACCTTTTTACATATATTGCAATTAGCAGTACTTTCATGACATTTATTGAAGTGAACTCACAACTTTTGAACTTTTTGCTCTGTCACCTCTGACTTAGTGCGCACAGAATGTAAACACGCAGACACACAACCTCAAACCTAATCGCCTGATGGCAGCTTCGTTACAATGAGGGTACGGTTAGTAATATAAAAATGCCTGCTATGTTAGAATGAATTAACGTTACATAAATAATGTCCAGTCAGGAACCGGGATCAACTTAGTACAGCCAAAACAGATTAAGATATATAAAAACCATTTTTGTTTAATTGCTTTAATTAAAAGGAAATCTGATACATGTGACTGCTAACTAAGGGACAGTACTTGAGTAAAATGCATTATCGGACACTATACACTACGTTACAATACAACAATCATGTGTCCCACCCATACTCTGACTTAGTGACTACACAGGACAGTTATCCTCACCTGCTGCCTCTGTGTCTCTGTAGGGAAGAAGGGCTCGGGGCTCGGGGAGTACGACCCTCTCACCCAAGCAGACAGCGAGGACGAGAGTGAAGAGGATGACCTCGTGCTCAACTACCCCCGGAACGGCCTCGGCAGGGACAACTGCCTCGGCACGGGCTCCTCGAAGCATGGCAGATCCGGAAGGCTTGTGGGGGCCGACGACGAGGCGCAGGAGGACGAGGAGGAAGAGGAGGACGAATGGAGGGAACGACTCCCCAGCAAATCCAGGCAGGACAGGGATGACGTGAAAGGCATGCAGTACTGGAGCCAAAGGGACTCAGGCAGGGACAGGGCAGGGGAGGACAGAGGGGGGCCTGGGCCACTGGGGGTTGCTGGGCTGGGGGTTCATAGTACTGATGCAGAAGAAAAGAGGATGAGGATGAAGAACGCTGTCCGGAGTGCGTTTTTCCTGGTGCCTCTGGTCTGTGCCACATTGCTCGTGCTGCTTTGTGCATTTCTGATTCCATGCCAGAAGGGAGAGCTGGAGAAGAGGCTGCAGTGGGAGCGAGCACTGGGAGATGCTGGAGGTAAAGAGAATAAGAGAGTTACACCAGATCTGGTTGAGATATTAAAGATATGTGTGTGTGAAAATATGATGCACAATATGAGCTTACGCCACCAATAATGCTGACTTTACAGAGACTTACATAGGAGTCTCTGTGGCTAGACACCGCTGACTCACCCATTAATTAGTCCACTGTAATTATACAGGATTGTGAGCTTCACTCCACCTACCACATGTTCTGTTTTAGCATGTACTGTACTGTAAAAGTATTGTAGAGTGGCAGTAATAAACAGGATTGTGTCTTTTATGATTCACACATTCCCCCCCCCCCTTATTCCTCCTGCTGGTCCAAAATGTAGGTCAAAAGAACAAGTTAATCCTTCCCTCCTGCCCGCCAGTAGTGAGGTTGTTCCCTCACTACTGGCGGGCAGTGCTAATTGTGTTTTTGCTTTCTCCGTCCAGGTGTCACTCCGCCAGCGCTGGCGTTGTGGGATGTTGATGGTGATTCAGTGGAGGATGTGTTTCTGGGCGTCACTGAATGGACCAATGACAGCCATCCCACACAAGGGAACAAAAGTACGTGAATAAATCTCTAAAAAGGCTCAGCCAATTAATCCCGATTTTGTTTCTCTGCGGTTGATTCAGACAATTCCTTAAAAACCAGGATCCATTTTAATATCTCGTCCTCTTTCTGTGTTGTTCCTGATTTTTGTTGATCATTACGTCCTTTCTTTAACCCAGTTTACAGTGCGGTGGCCCTGTCTGCAGTCAGCGGTCAGGTGCTGTGGAGGAAAGTCATGCGGGAGTCTGTGATGTGCATCCAATGTGGTCTGCAGTACAACGCGCAGCCGTCAACTGTGGTCCTCCTCATCAGCAAATCCGTCGTCATGGCAGTCAATGGAACCACAGGTTAGAGCACAAGCCGAAAATTATGTTCATATATGGAAAAAAACAAGTGGCAATCCACCTGTAGTGTTCAAACCAGTTCAAACTGGGTCAAAGAGGTTTCCTTTCACTCACCAGGGAAGAACCTGTGGTCAGTTCCGCTTAGGAACATCGAATCCCAGGCGGTACTACTTCCAGACCTCCAGGGAGACTCAGTCCCAGATCTCCTGATAGCCACCCTGCCTGCAGATGAGGTATAGCTATGACAGCCACCTCCTCCTTTTCCCCTACACTCATACTCAAGTTACACTGAGGCATTTTACCACTAGTAGTATACAAAACAGTCACTTCTTACTATTCTTACTTGGCTAAAAGACTTGTGTTGTGAGCCTGTTGTGTTGATAATAGTTTAGCTGAGTACTGCTGTATTAAAGGTGTGTTGTGTCTCCAGTGACAATCCCATTCGTGTCTATTTTTCACTTTTCTTTGGCATAACATTGTTGTGATCATGAGCTACAGATCATGTTTCCAGGCCTTTGTATTCAGTGAGCGTATACCTAATGCTGCTGTACTCATTCTCAGGCCTTGGATCTCTCCCTGACCTTGATGTGTGGGCGGTCGGGGATGAAGCTCGGACATCCCGTGCCTTTCAACCTCACCGGACAAGGAAAGCTGATTGGTCCTTTGCTGCATGAGACACAACAAGGGGCCTATTACATCCTCTTTGGGTTAGGTAAAAGAATCAACCAGCAATATAAAGTTCTTCAACATCACTCTGTTCAGGCAGTTGGTTCCAATAGTTAAAACAGAAAATGCACAATATGATGATTTGATTTTGTGTCAATGTCTTTTCCATCAGGTAATGTAGAGGCCATCTCTCTGCGGGACATTTACGTTCGTGCCACCGGCAAAATGCCCGCAACTCAGGCACTACAAAGGAAGGATCCAGGGTGGGAGGGGCTCAAGAAAACCAATTCCTCCTCCTTCATACACATTTACAGGTACAGCTCGGTGACTGGCACGCTCTGTACAGACCTTTCTGTTCTGTGTCTGTTAAATATTAAACCTTTAATCCGTTGGTAGGAAGGACACACTGTTACAAAACCAAAGTGTGATGCCTGAGCTGCTGCAAGAGACCTCTTTTTGTTTAGCATTGTATTTAACTGCAATAAAATAGAAATGGTAGACTCAATTTAATATATATATATATAACAGTATATTATTCTGTATTGTCTTGAGTCACATATTTTGTAGTCCCAAACATCAAGAAGCATCTTAGATGATTTTAGATAAAAGATGGTAGAAATACTCTTAAGAGTGTTACAATATTCATACCATGTTGTCCAAAACAAATTATAACTAATTACACACCAATCACTCCCACCTTTGTTACATCGTCTTTGTAGAGGATCTGAGCGCGTGGAGTTCCTGCTCCCTCTTGTGGCTGGATTTGGCAACAACCACAACAGTCTGGACACTGTTTCGAACCTCAACTCCACCAAAAGAGACTGGGTGCTGGTGTACGGCTCCAGCAAACTGTCAGTGCTCAGGCAGACGGACACACATAAAGAATGGACCTTCAGCTCGGCTCCCATTCACAGGTAAAGCCCAGCATATCACTACTCTACTGTCATCATGAGACAACAATACAAGTCATGTATCAGACTGTTGCAACATTTCTCTAAATGATTTCTTTGCCTGTCACAGTCAACCAGCCCCAGGACATTTCAACGATGATGGAATTCTTGATCTTTTCATTCAGCATTCAGCAAACGGCATCATGCAGGTACAACAAACAATCCTTTCATACACTTTTGCTGCACAAGAAATCGGGTTAAACTGCTCTTTGTGTTGTGTGTGTTGTAAAATTGAGGTTCGCCTCGTCTCCGTCTCTCAGGCACAGGTTGTCGATGGGGCAAATGGGCATCTTCTCTGGACGGCAGAGTTTGTGTGCCCTCGTCTTGTTTTGGAAACTTCAGCAATCTCCACCTCAACTGGCCAATCAGCTTTCCTCTTCTGGGCCAGCGAACCAATCAAAGCACAGAAGAATGTCACCAAGACAACTGTGAGTTTGATGAACTGTCCTGGTCTGTTGATACAAAAAAACAGATAAACAGCTGTGTGTGAATCATATCTCATCTTATTTATTGTCTATCAATGAAACACTCAACTCTGTGTAGGTGGCACCAGGTGTTGCTGCAGCGGAGCCGCTCATTAGAAAACTTTTCCTGTTGCACCCTGCATATCCCACAATCCTGCTGGAGCTCACCAGTACCACAGACACCGCAGTCACCTCTGCAGGTAAACGTTCAAATCTGCTGAACTATATCCGCTTTAATGCATAAAGTTTGTCTTCTAACCTTTATCATTCGCTATCCAGAAGTCTGTATACCTGTCTGTTATTAAAAGTATGTCAGTAGTAAATTAGACAGGAAGTAATACACGTGTTCAAGTAATACAAATGTCTTTCTTCCTATTTCCTCCTCCTTTGTCTCCGACAGTGAGTTACCAGGAGCGCCAGAAAGACGCCACCTACATCACCGTATCCTCCCGACCCACACCCGATTCAGAGCCCGGCGCTCGGATAGTCAAGAGCATGAGCCTCAAAGCCGCTATCACCAAAGGACAGATTGTCAGGCTTGGGGAGAGCAACAAGACCGGGGAACCTCTTAAACCTGCAGTGTTTGAGGTCAACAAGTTCTTCAGGCGTTTGTCCTTTAAACACATGGTGAGGAGCATGAGATAGACACAATAATGCGTACTGTGGGTCAGTTTGATTGTTTATGCTCTCTTAACTGTGTTGTTTTATTTAGTGATGGGCCACCACCGCTACCACGCTCTGCCTCACAGGGAGCGGTGCCACTAAAAGGACTGAGGATGAAAGGGACAGAAGTCGTGGCCAGCTCTGCACTACGGAGACCCTGAGGAGACGCATCTTGTTTGGTTCACTAAGCTATTTCTTTTCTGTAAAAAGATTATTTGTAAGTAGAGATTTTGTTTGTATTGTTATGTTTGTACATTGAACATTTACTTATTTAAATTATTTAACTCGCATTCAGGACAGTCTTTAATATTTCATTTGAGTGTTTATGATTGTTTGGAATTGATGGCAGAAGACTAACTTTATACGGTAGTTTATTACTGACAGTGAAGCACAAAAACGCTGATGAAAGAGCATGTAAATGTGTTTACAGTATGCATCACTCATATAACTCTTCCCAGGTCAGTATATCCATGTGGTGTCATCCCCCAGTTTTCGTCATGAAGCGACTAACCGTGTTTTTTCTGCTCATCACCGAGGTCAACGGTGTAGAGTTTTACACAAGTAAAAGTGTGTACATATTTAATGCTGTACAGTATTTATTGATTTGCTTTAACATTGATTTTATTTTTTATTTTCTTTGTCTGATTTTTTTCTATGGTCATATAATAAATCTTTTTTTCTGAGAATATGTGGCTGCTAAAGATCATGGCATTTAAATGTAAGCTGAAACTGAAACAAGAGAACAAATGAAAATCAGTTTTTACTGCTGCATCATGTATCGTGTGTGGTTTATTTCAACCTTTATTTCACCGACTCAGGTACTGCGTTGATAGAAATGAGTTATTATTAGAAAGGGAGGGTGGTGTGGCGTTACAGTACCGCGGGGGGGCGCTGTTGCACCTCCACATCCAAAATTATCTGCTGTGTTCCGCATTGCTGCCGCTTCAAACGCTGTCAACATGGCGTCGGCCCTCGGTCGCCTGGCCAGGCTGTCTGCCCTCAAAAACGCCCGCACCTCCCCGCTGACCCTCTCCTGCGGGCCGGGGAGGGCCGTGACACCGGCCCGGGCCGCCGTGTCCACTCCGTCCGGCGCCATCCTGCCCAAACCCAAGAAGGTGAGTGCTGCTTCGCAAGGGTCGGTGTGGTGCTCTCGACATGAACTAACTTAGTGTGTATGGGTGTGTGTGGGTGTGTGTGTGTGTGTGTGTGTGTGTGTGGCACCGGGGAAGCAGACCCCCTTCGGACTTATCCGGATTGCTCTGGTGTTGGTGCCCTTCTTGTATGTGGGGACTCTGATCAGTAAGAACTTCGCTGCGCTGCTGGAGGAGCACGACATCTTCGTCCCCGAGGACGATGACGATGATGACTGAGGGGTGTGGAGGCCTCCTGGTTGTCAGGTAACCGCGGGCTTGGGTTGTGTGGCACAAGTACACACACACACACACACACACACATTCACTAACCAACAACCAGGCAAGACAGTATACCTAAGTTACATGTGAAACGTGATCTATTTACAGCCAAGATAAATAGAATACTGTAAACAGCTCTATAATCAGTATGATTGTCAGTGGTAAACATGTTTTATATTATTTACACAACTACAGGATTGCCAATACCTTCCAAGTTTGGTTAAAGAAAACATCAAAAAACCATTACAGGAGTTATTTTGCCACCCCAGTAGATAAGAGAAGAGAGGAACATTAATTATAGTTCCTCTGTGAGTTTGAGTCTGTGATTTTAAGTGTTTTTTGCAGCTGTTGCCAAACATATTTTAGCCAGAGTTGAGAAACCGTGTCAGTTCTGGAGTGTAAGATTAACCCAGGATAAAAATAAATCACCACTCAGACTTCTTTCTCTTTCCTCCACAGGTCACCTTGTTTGTCACTACCACTGGGAGTCTTTGAACCTCAGAGCACACTAATGCCTCCCTGGTGTTCCCTCTGCTGTTTTTTCAAGTCTGCACTGGATTCAGGGTTTTCGCTGTTATCGTCACTGATAGGGCTGTCTCAGGCTGATCGTATCGTACTGTATTTGCATGCACTACTAAAGTCTTAATAAAGGGAATAGCGATGGTAAAATGCAGTACATGCTCAGTGCGAGTTGGTGGCGTTTTGTGCGCTCAAAACAGAGATTACTCAATCATCACAGTCATACAAAGTGGGGTGTTTGTGTCTGTAGTTTCCCTACATGTATGACAAGAGCATACGATTTGTTTATGACACAAGAATAATCTTAATAGGCAACTTAATAAGTCACAACACACATACATATACTATGTATACTATACTACACATACTTATATATACAACTTATATATACACAAGGGGTGTTCAGTGCTTTCCAGGTTCATAAAATACCACACCAGTAGTTCTTCTTAAAGGGACAGTTCATCCAAAACTTAATAAGTCTTATTTTTCTTCTAAGTTTTGGTTTGTAGACCAACAACGTCTCTTTTAAAAAGAACGACAATAACCAAAAGACATTAATCTGAGCAGCTTCAATACGAGCTACTTTCTACGTGTCTGTCCCTTTAAGAGCTCTGCTTTGAATAAAAGACACAACTGTAGGTCTGTGAGTGTTAAGTGTGTATTTACAATAAAGGGGAACATCTGTCACACTGGACACAAGCAAAGGGAGGTCAGAGGTCAGCAGACAGCTACACAGTTCACGGGTCATGACCCCGGTAGAATTTGGACAGGAAGTCAGTGGGACGAGGTTCTTCAGTCTCGTGGAAATAGCGCATTACGTGGGTCTTCTGCTTCCAGACGTGGATGGTCTCCTCGAGCTCCATTTTCCCCTGGAGATCAAATGAAAACGGTTCAACACAGCCTGGAAGACATCATGTATCTTCATTCATTCAGTCAACTGTGATGGGATGAGGTACTGAGCAGCCTATGAAACAGCTTAAAACAGCTGACTCCGGTGTTGTTTCAATTAGGTTGATGCAGATCACAGATCAGTGAAAGGCTGTTTTTACCTTAATGACTAACATATCAATCACACGGGGGTCGGTGACATGCTTGTTCTTATCGAACATCTCCCTCACTTTGTCTCTTCCCTGACGCGTTGTGATGTCCAGCTGAAACAGTACCACTGTAGAGACACACACACAAAGTCACTCTGTTAACACCACGCCAACTTCACCCAGGAACTTCTATAGGTTATTACTTCATTGTTTCTCATTTTAAAGGATAAAGCTAGGGGTTTGTATATAAAACATATAGTCAACAAAACCCACAGGGCATTGGTCCATTTCTCACCCAGTGCAATAGTGAGGCTCATTTTTGGAATATTTTTGGAAACAATGAAGGTTTATAGAGCAGAGGAAATGGTATATCGGGGTTTGGGCACACATGCAGTATTAGACAGAAGTTAATTTAATGTGGTGTTTTTATTGAATATGAAAATACAGAATATCTCCAGCCTTATTCGGAGTTATTATGGGAGCCATAAGGTGGACAGCTGTCCAACCTGTCAGCACAGTGTAAAGCAGCCTGTCTGTCTGTCTGTCTGTATGAGTTAGATATAAACATACACTATACATTCACAGGCTAATATCACAAACAGCCTCAGGTAGCTGCAGGCGCTAGCCCCGATATTATCGCAAGGTGTAAAGGTTTCGGGCTTTCTCATTATTCAGTTAGCTTAAATGACTATTTCAACGTTTCTCTCAAACACTGGGGAACAGATATCTTGTGTAACGTAATGTAATAATGTGTTGTAGTGATGTGAACGTTTGCTAGCAGCTAGTTAACGTCAGTCGTTGTGTTGAACCTCCACATACACACGACCTTGACGCTGGCGCTGTCTTTTAAACACCTTTTTCCCGCCACAGCGGAGTCACGTACCTGCGTTGGGGACCTCTCGGTACCAGGCTCGGTACAGCTCCCGGACCCTGCGCTTAGCTTCGTCCAGGTCCCGGCTGAAAATCGGTTTGACAACTTTAGCAGCACCAGCTACAGCTCGGGTCGCCGCCATGACTGCTGCCGTAGGTTCGTTTCCGGTTGCTCTTACTCGATGGTGTCATGTTGACTGACACTGTGCTGCCACCCAGTGGACGGAAGGGGTCAATGCGGCAGCAGAGTGGTGCATTTTTTATTAGTTTTTATTTTCAGTTTATTTTAGTTTCAGTTTCCAGAGTGGGTTTGCTAGTTTTAGTTTAGTTTTTTATTAGTTTCAGTATTCATTGTAGTGTAGTAACATATATATAACAAGAGGTGTATTTGTTGGGAAAGATTGATGAACTCCAGAATTACAACACAAACACATTGACTCAGTCATGTAGACATCCCTGTCTCAATAAACATAGGCTGGCTTGCTGTGTTGACAAATTTGACCCAATTGACAAAGACTGAAACTAAAGACATTTTCTCTATGCTTTTATTTTATTTCAATTAGTTTTGTACATTATATGGTTTTAGTTAGTTTTCTGTCTTTTTTTCGATTGCCTGTTTCTAAATTTATTTCAGCTAACTAAAATGTTTTTTTCACACCTAGTTGTAGTTTTTAGTTTAGTTTTAGCTAACTATAATAACCTTGGGCAGGAGGCGGTCAAAGTTTAATTAAGTACTACTTTAAGAAGCTTAACACATTTTATTGTTGTTGCCAATGTTTAGAGACATTCTGCTCCAATGTAATTTAATGCTTTTACTGAACTGCATCATACTTTGGGGGGTTTCTAAACAGTCAAAAATGTAAATGAGGGGTATAAATATTAGAAATATATGTCAATGTCTGTTAAATACAAACACACAATGTACAGCGGCCCCTTAACCTAACAGAATTGAGTCAAAACACAAAGTGGCAGAAAAAACGTAACATTTCCAAGGTAGTATGTATTGCAGGGTTATTGCTTTAGATTACATCATACAGTACAGTTTTCTATATTTCAGAAACTGCAGCGTATAATCTTTGAATGGATTGTTGCTGTATGTGTGGCAATGAACAGCTATAAGCGTGTGTGTGTGCTGCAGATGTAGGCGTACAGCATCAATTAAATTAAATGAAGTGTTTCTGTTGAACTTATTTTATTGATTGCAAAAATTGTGTATAATTTACAAAGATGATACAGGCTCTACAATACATTAAATATGAAAATATTTTCAAAAGGCAGGTAGATATTTTATCACAATTCATACTTTCCATAAAAAAAAAAAATTGGCTCATCGATGCAACACCTGTCATTTGTTGTGGTGGTGGCGGCACACAAATGCCAATGATCAGGGGAGACTGGAAGCTTGAGAGTTCCTGCTTCTCACGTTTAAAAATGACAACATGTGTGATGTGGGATAACATTCATTCAACAGCTTTTACAAGCATCCCCAAAGAAAGTTGAGCCTGAATTTGCTACCATATAGTCATAGATCAACTTCCAATTCAGCCTGCCAGGAATAAGAAACGTTTGCTGTCTTGTCCTGTATTAATCCCAATATATTTCTGAATTTCATATTCACAAACACAATACTACTTAAGCTTACTTGTTTCCAGGTAAAAAAAAAACAATAATTACAGCAAATGATAAGCTCCCATTTCTAAAGAAACGTGTGCCATTTTCACAAAGTAAACACGACTCAAAAGCTGTACAACATAGAAAACGGAGATGACAGTAGCTCTTATGTAACTGTGTTGACCCCTGCTGTCTCACGCAAGAAGACACAGAGGCAATGAGAAGATTATCCAACAAGAAAAGCTGATACAGTATGAACTCTTCACTCTATGACCTCTACATTACCTGATTTAAAAAAAAACATGTCACTCAACAAATATTCCAGTTTTCAGACCAAATGCGCACTCATACATGCTTGCACTAAAAGCAAGCGAAAGCTATAAAAAAAAAAAAAGAAAAGTGCAGTTTTATATATCACGTGTGGCCCAGTGTAATGAAACCAGCTAATAGCTACTCTATACTGCTCATTGGCAGAATGATTGAAAACTAAGGCACTATCATGTTCCCCACACAGCCGGAACTGTACAAGTCCAACAATCATCTCCTCTGCTTTTCTGTATACCTCTTTGATTCAGTCACCTGCAAAACAAAAAACATACAGACAGAATAAAAAAAAACAAAAAAAAAAAAACTAGAAACTTTCAACAAGTATCTCAAAATTCCCATAGAGACTGTGACTTGTTGGCTGTATTAGTGTGACTTTACATACAGCCTGCTCTACCTCAGTCCCCACCTGTCTCTGTGTCTGCCAAAGCGCAGTGGTACCAGCAGCACGCCCTCAGTGGTCTAGGCTGTTACCCAGCTTCTGCCCCTCCTGCAGAGCAGCCATGGCCAGCCTCAGGTGCTCCTTTAGACTCTGGATCTCTCGCTCGCTCCGGCCCTTCATCCCACTCAGCTCCTCGCGCATCTCCGTACATCGTTCACAGGCCAGCCGTTTCTCCTGCGGAGCAAAGAGCGGCTTCATGTGAGATCACACTCACTGTGGGAAACCCTGTATGCCTTCTGTTTAAACATGCTATATTTATGTATATAATATTATTTATATAGTATAACATATGGCAAATATATTATGCTTCATAAGGAGGAGCAGCACCAAATAACAAAGGCAAGGAATGTATAATACAAACAACAGAGCGTCCTTGCAGTGCTGGAGTAAATTCATTTACTGTATAGGGTGCAGAGTTTTCCCAGTCTAAATCTAGGAAGAGCCACCTAAGCTGCCTACTTAGATGTACGAGGTATTTCTTAATGAACTTTGTGTTTATTATTTTACTGTTCTCAACAACAGCCAAAGAATCTTAGAACTTAGTTGTGCTGCATTTTCTGATGTAAGACTATAAGACAGTTAACAAAGACCTTGTTCAAGGATATGAGGATTAACATTCCATGTTATTCATCAAATAATGGAGGGTTCGCTGAAAAAAATACACATGCTTGTACAAAACATATACACACACAGGCAGTACCGTGTTTAGAAACTGCAGTTCGTTCCTTAGACAGCTGATCTCCTTGTGAAGGTACTCTATCTCATTTTCTTTCACCCTGAGAAGAACCTGAGAGAAAAACAAAACAACACAATGTGCTTGTCATTTGCTGCCAAAAAGAAAGCAAGCAAAGAAAAAAACAACACACACAAAACATCTTTTTATTGTACTAAATCCTTATAATTATCACCAAAAATGCACAGTAATTGTGTTCTGGTTGATTTATGACAAACACAGTGAGCGTTCTTTGTTATTTACAGAGTACAGGACTCTGGCCTTTGGCCAATGACTGTTTACCATGACATTCCCTTTGTGTTCTGAAAACTACAACACCAGTTTGCTAACCACAAAGAGCAGAAGTGAACTGCTATGTTATTGCTACTTTGTGTATGTGTCATTTGGGCGGACAGCAGGGTGGTATTACTGAGACTGAGTAAGTGTCCTTAAGCAAAGCTCACTGGGACAGTGCTGTACTTTCAGTGTGTTCCTGAAACATTTATGCAAACACTTACTTAGACAAAAGTAAACTGCAAATCACGCTTTACATCTCTACATGATGCAACCTCCGATATTACTTAATCTATGACTTAGCTAAATGAACCGCAGTTGTTGCAGAGTTTCTTATTCTGCTCTTAAAGGGTCAATAAAAAAATATTGAAAGAAAGGGTGCATGTAGAGGAAAATATGTTTTTTAGTAACTGAAAATACCAAAATGAAAAGATATCACTGTAATTTAGGTTCGGTTCAGCGTATACAATATAAGAGCCGTTACCTCTAGTTCACAAGGCGTCCCGTCTCTGTTGTCCTCTGAGCCGTGATTTCCGGTGGTAGATCGCATGCGACCGATCTCCTCCTTCAAACGGGCCCTTAAGTCCTGCGGAGAGAAATATTTTTTTAGAATTTGAATGACAGCCATTGTTGGGCACACAGTTGCAGACAATAGATCACTAGCCCTATATTGCCTACAGACTACAGACACCACGCAGCTTGGATAGTGCAAAGTAACAGATACTGTATGCAACCTTTCCCCTGTCCCTGATCGTATACAACGTTCCAGTGAGGGTCAGAGTGATGCTTCACACTCTGGGTCCATGCATCTCAAAACCCTCTAAAGTAAAACATCTATAATTACAGTCCATAGACACATTTGAGTAACATGAAAAGACTGCTCCACCACTTGTACTGTTCTTATGAATCCATTTTTACAATCTGCTGATAACTCACCTGGTTCTCTTTCCTCAGCTGCTCCATATCTCTCTCCTTGCGGCTGATCTCCCTCTCTCTCTCAGCGTTGTTCTGCTCAGCTCGGTTCAGCTCCAGACACTTCTGAGAGTAGCGCTCGGACAGTCCGGCCAGCTCCCTCTGAAAGGCCTGACTTTCTGCCCTTTAGAAACAGACACATAAAGCTGTGCTCATGTTGGGTCCTTAGTGAACTAAACTGCAGTCATTCCTTTCACCAGACGCACATTGAAAATGACATAAAACAAGAAACATTTACAGACAATTACATATTTATTTTTGTGATGAAGAATTCGATGTAGAAGTATGTCACAGCCCTGTTCTGATGGGATGACCTTTTGTTACACACAGACAACCAAAGCTAATCTAATCTTCCTGTTAAGTGGCAGCTCCTTTATTCTGCTCTGCACTTACAAAATACCTCTAAAGTAAATTATAATATCATTATCTAGTATTGATTACATTTAATAACAGCAACATGCTGTGAAAAACTTTGAGAGTTTTTTCTTTTCCATTTTCATGAGGCAAGTATTTCCTACTGTGGTTTTAAACATCTTTACTGCTCACAACCAATAACCACAAAAATAAGGAAGGAGCATGCAAAGAGCGAAAAAACGCAGAGTAGGCAACACAGATAAGCCCTAAAATGCAGGTTCCAGTAGCAGCCACTGAGACAGCGTTGTGTCAAAGGCCTTGTGAAGCTTACAAAGGAAAACTAATCCATGACCAAATTCGTCTACATTCCTTAAGTGCCTAACAGGACCCAGTGGCCGCTGCGGTAATGGCCTTGCTTAGACAAGGAAGCCTGGATTGTTGTGGAGTCTGCAAATTCTGCCTTTTATTTCACAGAAAACCCTTTTGTGGCCAACAAGCTCCCACTTAAAAGCACAAGAGAGCTATTCACATAAATTACCAATGTTGGCTTGCACTGACTGACACTGAGGACCGGGCTACAACCGAGGCACTATGGACAAAAAGGCACCAAGCGGAAGAGAAGCAGTTCACAAACTTCTTAATATGCTTGTATTTCTGCAGAAATGTAAACTAGTGTTATGTTTTTTAGACTGTCACTTAAACAAATCAACATATTTTATTGCCACTGGTGTCAATAATGTTAGGATGCCATACTACACACGCACAAACTGATCTGAAGTCACTTACTGTTGTTGGACCCGTAAAGTCTGTGAATCCCCACTGCTTAGCCTCTTGACTTTCTCCACCTCTCTCTCCAGCTCCTCTTTGTGTTTCTTCTTCAAAGCCTCCATTACTGAAACACAAGCGAGACACAACGTCTACATGAACTCCTGGTAGCTGATAACAGCAGCACTGAGGACTTTCCTGACTGGGACTGGGGACACTCAAGGGTAAAAGACCAACTGAAAAAACCTCACCGACAGCTCCATAGAAAACAGCTCAGTGTGAATACCAGCACCAATAAATAATATCACCTTAATATTGGAGTGGCATGGTGTTACATAAGAGTATAGAAGCCCTGCTGGAGATTTTTTCATAGTTTGAAAAAACCCCACTGATAATCTACTTACAATGAAACCCTGAACTCTATTCGACCTTTAACCTCAACCCACAACCTCAATCCACTTCTGACTAAATGTCTTTGCCAAGATATGACCTTCTCAATTTAAAGGCACAGTTAAAGTTACATTCACTACTTTACTCCTTTTCTCCCCTGTCTGGTCTGCTGACCTCGTGCTGTGTCCTGGGCCTCCTCCAGCAGCAGCCTGTCCCTGTCGGTCTCCAGCTCCTTTATCTGCCGGTCGTGCTGCCTCTGCAGCTCCTCCAGCGCCTGCCGATGAGCACGCTCCATGGCTGCCAGGCTGCGGCCGCAGGGGGCCTCGGGGCCACAGCCACCCCTCACACCTCTTCCGTCCCTCCCTCCCCCTCCCCCTCCTCTGCCTCCT